AGCTTGTAGCGCTTGAATGCACTCCGCATCCGCCCGCTCCATTCCTCATAGTTGGAGCCATCCAATGCCTCGATCTTGGATGGTGGCGGCTCATTCCTCTTCTCAGCTGCATCTCCACTCCCTTGACTCATTTCCTCTGCTCCCAAGCACAGGTTCCAGCTCCCCCCTTGCTGTCCACACCGAAGTCCCACTCAATTTCCACAAGTGTCGGCGCCAACGAAATTTCGGCAGAGTTTCCCCTTAGCGGAAGTCACATGCAACCTCCATAACTCCACTTAGGCACGCCCACAGGCCATGGTGGGTCTAGGAGGGTCTTCACACTTCAGTAGACTCTCCACAAATTCCTTAATCAGCTCTGATACCACTTGTTAGAGACTAAGGACGGAGTCTATGAAGATTAGGGGCTGAAATATCTCAAAATCGTCAACTACAATTCTGGACAGAGAAGTCGTCGTCACAAGAAACGTCGTCGACGAAAGATCCACCGTTAGAATTCTTTCAAACTCAAGTATGGTGTAGCCCTTGACCGTGGCTATCTTTTCCAATTTGAATAGTATCAAAATATGGATTATAACTCGAGTTATGAACTTCGGCGCACTAGGGGGTATGCTGCCATAGAAAACGTAACTCAATCGAAATTATCTCACAAGTTCACACAAGAAAGTTAGAGTAGCAATAGAACCAGGTAGGAGGGGATGAGGAGGACGAGAGGGAAGGTCCCAAGGGACTCCCCAACCAAGGACACCCCATACCACACAATTCCCCTCTCTATAGGCACCCCAACTTTGACATTTGTCACTTTCCCAACTCATGCCATCCACCTCACCCAACTTGGCCACACTCGCCAACCTGGTTTGGCACCTCCCAACCACTTGGCAGCATCTACAGTGATGTTGACGAATTTCCCAACCCCCAAGAGTCTGTACTCCTTATGGAGTCAACACCACAACTTCCCATAGTCACCACAACCACATATCAAAAGCTTACGAACTTCCAACGTTCGTAACTTTCTTGTTCGTGCTCCGATTGAAGCGATAGTTGGTTCGTCGGAAAGCTCTTGAGCAGAGGAGTCACTTCAGATATCTGCTCAAGCCAAATAACATTCACACACACTCAGAAAAACCAAACCGCACAAAACACAAATTTTTGCATACGCTCACACCACGCATGCAACGCACGAACACATGATGGGAGGCAGACAGACGTGAATGCATATGATTGCATCACACAACATGAACTTGGTCTCAAGGCATGTAGGGCAGCTCCCAACCTCCTTTGCTGCCCCCTTCACCTCCAACCCCTTCAAGCTCCCATCCTTCACTAACTTCTGCAGCATAGAAAAATTCACATGACACAGCCTCTCGTGCCACGTCTCCCAATCAGCCTCACCACTCCCAGATGAAGCCTTTGCCCATGCAGCTGTTGCATCCACACCAGCAAGCACCTCACCATGTGGCTGCTGTGGCTGCTGCACCTTCTTGACTGCATCCAGAGCCCCATCAGTTGGTGCAATCTCCTCTCCTCCTGCAGTTGCCTTTGCCGTTGCTGCAGCCGCTGCCGTTGCTGGAAGTTTCCCGTTCCAAGGGATGATGGGCAGCCTCCACAGGTCCTTGATACAGCTGCTCTTCTCCTCCAGGTTCCATAGCAGCAGCTTCCCAAGCTTTGCACGGCAGCTGGTTGGGTCAAAGGTCACTTTGGCCTTGCTCTTCTGCAGCCGGCGCACAGAAAGAAGGTTAGCAGACAAGCCTTCAACCAACAACACATTCCCCAGCCCCACAGGCCCCCCATTGGCTCCCATCACCTTGGCATTCCCAACACCAATCACAGGGAGCAAAGCACCTGAAGCGGCAGCCACAAACTTAATCTTCCCAGGGGGCTTTACCTCATCAAGCAAATCTGCCCGTGGGGTCATGTGACTTGTGCAACCTGAATCGATCACCCAGTGAGTGAGGGGGTGCATCACAACCTTCCCAACTGTGCCCACATCACCCTCACTCCCTTTCACATCCTCAACCATGAGGAACATTCCAGGGTTGGCTTTACCGTGTGCACAATCACCTTGTGCACCTGAACCTTGCACAGCGCCACCTCGTGCACGTTCACCACTTGGCGGCTTCATGCCTGGAGGCGCCCATCCCTCAGGTCCGCTGAAACACTTGAACCACGGGTGTCCATCCTTCTTGCAGTACCAACACGCACCCTCCATTTGGGTGCTCCCCCCGCCACCAGAGCTCCCGTGCCCCTCATTGTATTCACCTCGGCCTCTCCCTCTGCCAAAGCCTCTCCCACGGCCTCGGCCTCTCCCTCCCCCTCTTCCCCTGCTGCCTCCTGCAGCTCCATACCCGTCAGCAGTTTTGTTGGCAGCACCACCACCCGTGTGGCGCCTGCGGAAGTCCTCCTGCAGAATCTGCTGCCGTAGCCACTCAGGTGTCCACTGGTCCTGCTGAGTGTTGAGGGTGGGGATGAGGTTGTCCCACAAGTTGTCGAGCACCGAGATGATCTTGGTGCACTGCTGCATCTACGACACATTGCTGCCCGCCGCTGCCATCCTCGCATAGGTGTCCTTGATCTTGTCAAGGACCGGCTTCACATCATCGCCCGGTCGCATGGAGAGGGCAGCCAGCTCCTTCTCCAACACAATCACCATCGGCAGCGTGTTGGGCTGAATCACGTCGCGCAGTAGCTTCCATGCCTTTGGTTCGGAATCATCCAACTCCACCAAATCCTTGATGTGTTGGAACATGTCGTTGTTGACCGATTGAAGGATTAGGTCGTACAGCACCGCGCTTTTCTCAATCCACCGATCGCGGGCATCTCCTTCATCCGGCATCTTCTCTTCACCCATCGCAAGTTTCAGCAGCTTGTAGCGCTTGAATGCACTCTGCATCCGCCCGCTCCATTCCTCATAGTATCCAATGCCTCGATCTTGGATGGTGGCGGCTCATTTCTCTTCTCGGCTGCATCTCCACTCCCTTGACTCATTTCCTCTGCTCCCAAACACAAGTTCCAGCTCCCCCTTTGCTGTCAACACCGAAGTCCCACTCAATTTCCACAAGTGTCGGCGCCAACGAAATTTCGGCAGAGTTTCCCCTTAGCGGAAGTCACATGCAACCTCCAGAACTCCACTTAGGCACGCCCACAGGCCATGGTGGGTCTAGGAGGGTCTTCACACTTCAGTAGACTCTCCACAAAGTCCTTAATCAGCTCTGATACCACTTGTTAGAGACTAAGGACGGAGTCTATGAAGATTAGGGGCTGAAATATCTCAAAATCGTCAACTACAATTCTGGACAGAAACGTCGTCGTCACAAGAAACGTCGTCGACGATTAACGCACTATTAGAATTCTCTCAAAATCGAGTATGTTGTAGCCCTTGACCGTGGCTATCTTTTCCAATTTGAATAGTATCAAAATATGGAGTATAACTGGAGTTATAAACTTCGGCGCACTAGGGGGTATGCTGCCATAGAAAACGTAACTGAATCACAATTTTTCTCACAAGTTCACACAAGAAAGTTGGAGTAGCAATTGAACCAGGTAGGAGGGGATGAGGAGGACGAGAGGGAAGGTCCCAAGGGAGTCCCCAACCAAGGAAACCCCATACCACACAATGCCCCTCTCTATAGGCACCCCAACTTTGTCATTTGTCACTTTCCCAACTCATGCCATCCACCTTACCCAACTTGGCCACACTTGCCAACCTGGTTTGGCTTCTCCCAACCACTTGGCATCATCTACAGTGATGGTGACGAATTTCCCAACCCCCAAAAGTCTGTACCCCATAGTCGCCGCATCTCAATCAAAACTTCGAACGATCATATCTTTCTCGTTCTTGCTCCAATCAAGGCGATTCTCGGTTCGTCAGGAAGCTCTTGAGCAGAGGAGTCACTTCAGATATCTGCTCAAGCCAAATAACATTCACACACACTCAGCAAATCCAAACCATGCCAAACACAGATTCTTGCACACGCTCACACCACGCATGCAACACACGAACATATGATGGGAGGCAGACAGACGTGAATGCAAATGATAGCATCTACGAACAATTGGGTTGTACCCCTTATGGGCTAGCCCACTATAGCCTACACAAAGTAAACAATATAACATTTTGACAGAGATCCTCTTCTAGGGCGCGCAAATTACCGGCCTCCACGTTCGCCTCCTCCGTACTCATCCTCTACGACGTCTCTATAAGGTACCACAAATAAAAATAAATTGTCCCTTCTTTAAATCCCTCGTCTCGGGGTCACCTTACAAGGGTCCTCAGACGAGTGGTAATAAATTACCAAACGCCCTATCCTTGGGTCCGAGAACGTAACTCGAGGGAAATTATGAGAGGTTCAGCTTAAATTAATGAGCGCCCTTTACAAAACGCCGCACGCAAAGGCGAGTATACGAACGCGAATATAAACGACGACGGAAATCTATGCGTGTTCTTTCCACGCTCACCGCACCATGAAGGAATATAATGGAGAGCGTAGCGATAGCGAGAGAGTTTCTGCTATGAGAACGGTTTTGCGGCAGCAACTCGGTAGCGTTTCAGTAGCGTTCGTCTCCAAGGACTTGGTGAGAATTCGAGTAGCAATTGGACTTCACTAGAAATGTAATATGTTCCAAAAATACAAAATCAAACACGCATGCAAATATAGGCAAGCAAGAGTTGCACAGATGTTGCGTGGCGCTTCGGTGTAACCCAACCCCACGAAAGTGGTGTGCGAGTGGATGAACGCGCCTCGCACAATTCCCAACCCAACTCAGCAGCGGCATCCCGCTTCCGTGCACACCACTCCACCAACACAGCAAGGAGTGGTGTGACTCTCAAGGAAGCACCAACAACTCCCACGGACTCGTGCTTCTTCACGCGGACTCCTGCGCAGCTGCACATAGTCATACGTAGTCACACCCAACCACCACCGAACTCATGCGTCAGAGCAGAGTACACTAGGTCGCCAGGCGCCGACCTGCCAAGTCAAACATATCGCGAGGGCCCTTGCTGTCTAACACATTCCCCTCATCATCCTCATTCGCCTCATCATCCTCATTCCCCTCATCATCCTCATTCCCCGCATCATCCTCATTCGCCTCATCATCCTCATTCCCCTCATCATCCCTATTCGCCTCATCATCCTCATTCCCGCCTCATCATCCTCATTCCCCTGAGCATCCTCATTCGCCTCATCATCCTCATTCCCCTCATCTTCCTCATTCGCCGCATCATCCCCATTAGCCTCATCATCCCCATTCGCCTCATCATCCCCATTCGCCTCATCATCCCCATTAGCCTCATCATCCCCATTCGCCTCATCATCCCCATTAGCCTCATCATCCCCATTCGCCTCATTATCCCCATTCGCCTCATTGTCCAGTTCCCCCCCATCATCCTCATTCCCCCCATCATCCTCATTCCCCTCGTCATCCTCATTCGCCTCATCATCCTCATTCCCCTCATCATCCTTATTCGCCTCATCATCCTCATTCCCGCCTCATCATCCTCATTCCCCTCATCATCCTCATTCACCTCATCATCCTCACTCCCCTCATCATCCTCATTCACCTCATCATCCCCATTAGCCTCATCATCCCCATTTGCCTCATCATCCCCATTCGCCTCATCATCCCCATTAGCCTCATCATCCCCATTCGCCTCATCATCCCCATTAGCCTCATCATCCCCATTCGCCTCATTATCCCCATTCGCCTCAGTGTCCTTTTCCTCCCCATCATCCTCATTCGCCTCATCATCCTCATTCGCCTCATCATCCTCATTCCCCTCATCATCCTCATTCCCCTCATCATCCTCATTCGCCTCATCATCCTCATTCCCCTCATCATCCTCATTCGCCTCATCATCCTCATTCCCCTCATCATCCTCATTCGCCTCATCATCCTCATTCGCCTCATCATCCTCATTTGCCTCATCATTCTCATTCCCCTCATCATCCTCATTCCCCTCGTCATTCCGATTCGCCTCATCATCCCCATTCGCCTCATCATCCCCATTCCCCCCATCATCCCCATTCCCCCCATCATCCTCATTCCCCTCATCATCCTCATTCCCCTCATCATCCTCATTCCCCCCATCATCACCATTCCCCTCATCATCCTCATTCCCCTCGTCATCCTCATTCCCCTCATCATCCCCATTCCCCTCATCATCCTAATTCCCCTCATCATCCCCATTCGCCTCGTCATCCCCATTCCCCTCGTCATTTCCATTCGCCTCGTCATCCCCATTTGCCACATCATCCCCATTCCCCCCATCATCCCCATTCCCCCCATCGTCCTCATTCCCCTCATCATCCTCATTCCCCTCGTCATCCTCATTCCCCTCGGCATCCTCATTCCCCTCGTCATCCCCATTCCCCTCATCATCCTCATTCGCCTCGTCATCCTCATTCGCCTCATCATCCTCATTCCCCTCATCATCCTCATTCGCCGCATCATCCTCATTCCCTTCATCATCCCCATTCCCCTCATCATCCTCATTCGCGTCATCATCCCTATTAGCCTCATCATCCCCATTCGCCTCATCATCCCCATTCGCCTCATCATCCCCATTCGCCTCATCATCCCCATTCGCTTCATCATCCTCATTCCCCTCGTCATCCCCATTCCCCTCATCATCCTCATTCGCCTCGTCATCCTCATTCGCCTCATCATCCTCATTCCCCTCATCATCCACATTCGCCTCATCATCCTCATTCCCTTCATCATCCCCATTCCCCTCATCATCCTCATTCGCGTCATCATCCCTATTAGCCTCATCATCCCCATTCGCCTCATCATCCCCATTTGCCTCATCATTCCCATTCACCTCATCATCCCCATTCGCTTCATCATCCTCATTCCCCTCATCGTCCTCATTCGCCTCATCATCCTCATTCGCCTCATCATCCTCATTCGCCTCATCATCTCTATTCACCTTATCATCCTCATTTCCCTCATCATCCGCATTCGCCTCGTCATCCTCATTCCCCTCATCATCCTCATTCCCCTCATCATCCCCATTCGCGTCATCATCCACCTTGCCCTCATCATCCTCATTTACCTCATTTGACGCATTCCCCTCGTTCCATGCATTTGATTCATTCCCCTCCTTCCACTCATTAGACTCACTCGTCTCATTCTCATTTGAATCAATCCACTCATTATCCTCATTCCCCTCATCATCCTTATTCGCCTCATCATCCCCATTCCCCCCATCATCCCCATTCCCCCCATCATCCTCATTCCCCTCATCATCCTCATTCCCCCCATCATCACCATTCCCCTCATCATCCTCATTCCCCTCATCATCCTCATTCCCCTCATGATCCCCATTCCCCTCATCATCCTCATTCCCCTATCATCCCCATTCGCCTCGTCATCCCCATTCCCCTCGTCATCCCCATTCGCCTCGTCATCCCCATTTGCCACATCATCCCCATTCCCCCCATCATCCCCATTCCCCCCATCGTCCTCATTCCCCTCATCATCCTCATTCCCCTCATCATCCTCATTCCCCTCGGCATCCTCATTCCCCTCGTCATCCCCATTCCCCTCATCATCCTCATTCGCCTCGTCATCCTCATTCGCCTCATCATCCTCATTCCCCTCATCATCCTCATTCGCCTCATCATCCTCATTCCCTTCATCATCCCCATTCCCCTCATCATCCTCATTCGCGTCATCATCCCTATTAGCCTCATCATCCCCATTCGCCTCATCATCCCCATTCGCCTCATCATCCCCATTTGCCTCATCATCCCCATTCGCTTCATCATCCTCATTCCCCTCATCGTCCTCATTCGCCTCATCATCCTCATTCGCCTCATCATCCTCATTCGCCTCATCATCTCTATTCACCTCATCATCCTCATTTCCCTCATCATCCGCATTCGCCTCGTCATCCTCATTCCCCTCATCATCCTCATTCCCCTCCCATTTGCCTCATCATCCACCTTGCCCTCATCATCCTCATTTGCCTCATTTGACGCATTCCCCTCGTTCCACGCATTTGATTCATTCCCCTCCTTCCACTCATTAGACTCACTCGTCTCATTCTCATTTGAATCAATCAGCTCATCATCCTCATTCTCCTCGTCATCCTCATTCCCCTCATCATCCTCATTCGCGTCATCATCCCTATTAGCCTCATCATCCCCATTCGCCTCATCATCCCCATTCGCCTCATCATCCCCATTCGCCTCATCATCCCCATTCGCTTCATCATCCTCATTCCCCTCATCGTCCTCATTCGCCTCATCATCCTCATTCGCCTCATCATCCTCATTCGCCTCATCATCTCTATTCACCTCATCATCCTCATTTCCCTCATCATCCGCATTCGCCTCGTCATCCTCATTCCCCTCATCATCCTCATTCCCCTCCCATTCGCCTCATCATCCACCTTGCCCTCATCATCCTCATTTGCCTCATTTGACGCATTCCCCTCGTTCCACGCATTTGATTCATTCCCCTCCTTCCACTCATTAGACTCACTCGTCTCATTCTCATTTGAATCAATCAGCTCATCATCCTCATTCCCCTCGTCATCCTCATTCCCCTCATCATCTTCATTCACCTCATCATCCTCATTCCCCTCATTTGACGCATTCCCCATGTTCCACGCATTTGATTTATTCCCCTTCTTCCACTCATTAGACTCAGTCGTCTCATTCTCATTTGAATCAATCCGCTCATTCTATTCATGCAACTCATCCGTCTTACTACTTGACTTAATGCACTCAAATCAAAGCTGACAGTATTCATCAAAAGGGAAGTGACATAGGGCTTTACTCCTCACTTGCACGCTTGCATCGGCATTTCCATACTCTGTGCCCTTTCACAACTATCCCTTGCTCGTTGTACAAAACTACGTTTGCTTTTCCAGCTCATTTGCAAATCTCTTGTGCCTCTGCAATTCCCCTCAACCTCTGCCCATATGCAGCTTGTGCTGGAGCACCAATATTTTGATGACACTTTTCACCTGTAGAAGCTGTTGGAATTCTAGTTGTTAAGGTTCTGCCCACACATTACAGAGGTGTGCCCCGTCTCCCTCCCTGCCTGCCTACCTTCCTCCCTGCCTGCCTACCTTCCTCCCTGCCTGCCTACCTCCCTCCCTGCCTGCTCGCTTGCCTGCTTGCCTGCCTGCCTGCCTGCCTGCCTTCCTGCCTGCGTGCCTGCCTGCCTGGTTGCCTGCCTGCCTGCTTGCCCGCCTGCCTGCCTGCCTGCCTGCCTACCTTCCTGCATGCCTTCCTGCCTGCCTTCCTGCCTTCCTGCCTGCGTACCTACCTGCCTGCCTGCCTTCCTGCCTGCCTGCCTGCCTGCCTGCCTGCCCGCCCGTCTGCCTGCCCACCCGCTTGCCCGTGCGCCTGCCCGCCTGCGTGCCTGCTACCATTATTGGTTCCTTCCAGCCTTGTGTGGTGAGTAGATTCCGCTTGCCTGTTATTCGGAGAATTAGCAGCGTATTCCTTTTGTCAGGCCGACCTGTCACTAGGCACTGCGCACTAGGCATATGCCCCTGCGCACTCAAGATGGTCGTTTCCCATCCAGCTCCCACCACCCAACAACACCTAGCACACACCATCCAGCTCCCACCACCCAACAGCACCTAGCACACACCATCCAAATGAGAGCAAACAAGGTTGAGTTGATGGGCTTGAGGAGATGGCTTGAGAACGTGAGATTGAGAGCAAATAAGGTTGAGTTGATAGGCTTGAGCACATGAGAACACATTGAGCATAAGCGTCGATTCAACAGTTTGCACACACTTTTCGCCTCCACCTATAGGTGTATAGTGTCCTTCTCCTTACACCGTGATTTTGTTGCCAAGGGACGGGCAACCCGGCGGCATTCCGTCGACTGTTGGCATCGGAGGAGGTACAGTGGGGTTTGGAAGAGGCAAGGTTTGTCAGAGGGGTGGGGAGGGAGGGGGGAAAGGGTAGCCGGGGATTTTTTAGATAAAGTCCCAATTGTGATGAGGGCAATTAGAGGGGAGGGTGAGAGTGGGTGACAGTTGTGGTATGTGGTGAGGGACGACAGTACAATAATATCACGAGGTGCTGCTCGCTTTTCTCACACTTACTATAATCTTACCAACTCCACCCCACTCCTCACCATCTTGTCTCTCTCCCTCCTCTCATATTCTCTCCATCTCACCATCTCGCCATCTTGTCCTTCTCCATACCAGCGCCTCACCATCTCCCGGTTACATTTTGTTTTCCCAATATCTTATATATCTCCACCTGTCTCTCTCGCTCTCTCTCTCTCCCTGCTCTCCCCATTCCACCATCCCACCAGCGCCATGCACACTGCGTTCACGGCCTCTCTCCGGACCGCCACAACTGCCTTCGCATCTGCCCTCCGAGGCCACCCTATGCTGCTCTCTCTGCACCTCGCCCTCACCGCCGTTTCCAAAGGTCTACCTTTCCTCGAGATTTTCCCTTTTTTCATTATGGCAGTATGAAGCATTACTAACCAGAGTATAGTCTCCCTGCATGGGATTCTGTACCAGAATAATGGAAATACACCAAACTATGGATGTTAAGCAATGCTTGTGAATTGGCTCTCACAATTAGACTGAATCCTATATTTTCGTGTGTCTATCTTCGTGAACAGGCCCATATTTCAGTGAAAGGTGTTTACATATGTATCACTAGATCCCGGACCATCCATTCATCAGGTTATCATGACCAATCTGCTTAGAATGTTAATTCTGTTCTCAATCACTTGTTTTACCTGTATTTTGGATTCTGGATCAGGTTCTCATTTATTTTTGTTTTTTAACCTTGGAAGCTGTGAAGTTCCTTGAAGGAGCTCGCCGTGCAAGCTTAATGGCAGGTCAATTTCAGTTCAGTCGCCGCATCTGACGGGGAACGTGATTTTCAATGTTTAACGCGTTCAAGCTGGGATGTATTCAGGATTCAGCAACACAGCTGATCTTGGTTCTGGTTCATTGTGGCGAATATTGTAACCATCACATTTCAGGCTGACCCAAACTATTTGTTAATGTAGAATATGTTATAGTCACAATAGCCTTGAATGTGCCTAAAACGAAAGATAGAGTGCACAGACGGATTTCTGCACAGCGGCTTCAAACGTTGATAGCGTTCTGCTCACAGCTGCAAATGACTTGATTCAAATTGGATCTGGAGCGTCTTGACGTCGCCTACAATAAGCAATTTAGATTGCACGATTTCATAAAGATTGACGACACAGCGTCGGTTTGAACGAACGGTACTATGGCAGCCACTATAGTCTTAGAACACAAGATAGGAAGAGTTACGAGTTGGGAATGACTCCCAGCTCCTACAAACCCCAAGAGCCGAGGTACAGTGATGTGGAACAGTGCCACACTGTCCCCAACCACGAAGGGTCTCGAAACTACCCTCCACAAGGGCCTACACCAAGAGAAATGTTACACTACACAAAGTAATGCAACTATTCTCACTATCTTAAAGTTTACCCTTTTGGAGAGCTTCGAAATAACTTGAATCTTGAAACCAAGGCTCTGGTTCTTCAAGGTAAATTCTTCCTTGAGTTCTTGGAAGTCTGCTGCGCACACCTGCGACACGCCGAACGTTCCACACACGACAAAATAGAAAACCGCACACGACACGCAAACGACGACGTGACACGCGACTAGCGATAACTCGCTATTGACTCGACGCACACATTCAAAATCATGCTTCATCATACACACACTATTGTAAACATGAAATATATATTATTTCATGCCCTCATACCATTCCATGCACACACGCATGCACGCACACGGACAACAAGCCGAATGCAAACCGTAGGGTTGCACCAACAAACTCCCCCTCGGATTGTTGGCCTTAGGATCTTGCTCTCTCAGTTCAGAGCCATCCCAGCCAGCTTGCAACACTTCCAATGCTGCTGCTCCACCAGCCTCTTGGTCATCATGTCAGCTGGCTGCCTTGTCGTCTTCACATAGTGCAACTCAACTTCACCCGCGGCCACCATGCTCCTCGTCCAATGCCACTTCACCCTCATGTGCTTGGTGAGGCCATGCAACACAGGGTTCTTAGCAAGAGCAATGGCACCCTGGCTGTCACAGTAGAGTGGGGTAGGTCCTTGCTGCTCCTCCCCCAATTCAGCCAACAAACGCCGCTGCCACACAATCTCCCGTACGGCACGGAAGAGTGCCATATACTCGGACTCCACCGAGCTCAATGCTTGATCCACCTGCTTCTTGCTCTCCCAAGCAGTTGGGCCTCCACCAACACAGCAAATGAACCCTCCAACACTTGTCATGTCCTCTGGTTCTGATGCAAAAGAAGCATCCGAGAATGCGGTGAGGAACAAACGCCCGGGTTCAACACCATCCGCGCCCTTTTGGCGCCTTTGCGCCGCCGCCGAATATTGCAGCCCAACGGTCGGTGTTTGGCCAAGATACTTGGCCACTCTCATTCCAGCTGCTACCTGCTCCTCATTAGGGCATTGAACAACCCTAGCCAACTGTCCGGTAGCAAACGCGACGTCCGGTCGGGTGTTTACCGCCGCGTACATGAGGCTGCCCACCAACGAGTGAAAACGGCGCCTCTCCTCTTCACCAACGCTCTCCTCCTCTGGTCCCTTCACACACTTGAAACCAGAGGGAAAGGGTGTAGCCACATGGCCTTCACTCTGCCCAAAGTTGGCAGCCAATGCCTCCAGGTACTTCCGTTGATGCACCCGCATGCACCGCTTCTCCACATCACGTTCAATGTGAAGCCCAAGGTAGAAGTTGACGTCACCAAGGGCCTTACACTTAAACTTGTCCTGAAGCTTCAGCATCACCTCCTTCACAAGGACAGATGAGGGTGAAAAGATGAGGATGTCATCCACGTACACCACCATGAAGCTCCTCTGCTCCCCCTCGCCAAGCATGAACAATGAGTGATCGGCCGTTGAGGGAGTGAAGCCGATCTCCTCCAAAACTCCTCGCAGCTTCAAGTACCACTGCCTAGGGGCCTGCTTCAGTCCATAAAGGGCCTTCTTCAGCCTCAAAACTCTGCCACTACCATCATCAAACCCCTCTGGCTGCGCCATGAAAATCTCTTCCTCAAGGACGCCATTGAGGAATGCCGTTGTGACATCCATTTGTTTCGCCACCCATCCTTTGATGGCAGCTCCCGCGAGTAGGGTTCGCAGCGTCGTCGGCTTCACCACAGGAGCAAACAACTCCTTATAGTCCACCTTCTCCTTCTGCTGGTACCCCTTCGCCACAAGCCTAGACTTGTAGCGCTCGATCTTGCCGTCGGCGTCGGACTTGATCTTGAAGAGCCACTTGGACGTAATCGCCTTACGCCCCTCCGGTAGCTCCACCAATTCCCATGTGCCGTTCTCCTCAATGCTCTTCAGCTCACTCTCCATTGCCTTCTTCCACTCCTCAGCATCACTACTCTCCAAGGCCTCCTTGAGAGTTGCTGGTTCCCCCGGCATCTCCACCGGAGAGAAGAACGCGAAGGCACACTCCTCGTAGTCACTCTCCTCGTCTTCTCCAACTATAAGTGCCGCTCCGGCCAAGGCTGACTTGGCTGGCTTTCCGAGTGCCTCATAGGTCAGCCTATTTGGGGCTTGGATTCTCCTTTTGCCCCTTCCTTCTTCCTCAGCTGC